GATGTGGATGAGGGAGCGTAGGATGGAGGAGGAGGGTGACCGGAGGAGTTGTGTGGGAACAGGGTCAAGGGGGCAAGTGGTGAGGCGGGCTTCTGAGAAGACCTTGGTGACCTCTTCAGTGGTAGCAAGGCTGAAGGAGCGAAGTGTTGGGGAGGTTATAGTGTGCGGGTTGTTAGGTGTGGTGGGAGATAGGGCGGTTGTGAGGTCAGAGGGGGGGGAGTTTGGTGGGGTTATGGTGGGAGGGAGGCTAGGTGGGAAGGTAGGTTGAGCATTGGTGATGTCCTTACGGATTGCGTCGATCTTATTTTGGAAGTGATTGGCAATCTCGTGGGCAGTGAGTGAGGTACTGGGTGGGGGGGGGGGGGAGAGAGTAGGGCGTTGAAAGTGGAGAAGAGCCGGCGAGGACAGGTGGAGAGGGTGTTGATGAGGGTTACGAAGTAGGCTTGTTTGGCGGCATGGAGGGAGGAGGTGTAGGTGAGGAAGGCAGATTTGTAGAGGGAGAACACTCGAGGCGATCTAGTTTTGCGCCATAATCGCTCCAGCGCACGACTGCGTCGTTTAAGATTTTTAGTGTGGTCGTTCTGCCAGGGTGGAAGCGGTCGGGGTCTAATGCTACGTGTGGTTAGGGGTGCTAAGGAGTCTAAGGCAGCTGACAGCAAGTCGTTGTATGCAGTAGTGGCCAGGTCAGGGCATGACAGTGGAAGGATACTGTCGTATAGACGGTCAGCTGCAGAAATGGAGAGGGACCAGGGTTCAGGTTGCGGAGGTTACGGCTGGTGATGGTTTGACATTTGGGGGAGGAGGCGTTATAGGACTGGGAGACGGAGAACGTAATGAGGTTGTGGTCAGAGAGAGGGAAAACGGTGTTTGTGAAGTTGTGGAGGGTGCAGAGATGGGAGAAAACGAGGTCCAGGGTGTTTCCATTGGTGTGGCTGGAGGACTGTGAGCACTGTGTGAGTGCAAAAGAAGAGGTTAAATTGAGGAGTATATTCGTTATAGCAGAAGAGAGACTTCTCGCAGACAGTGGAGCTAAGGGCGAATTTAGGTGATAGAGGTCATCTAGTATACAGTGGCAGATGAATTTGGGCGTTGTGGGATGAGCTTTATTTAATGACACGTTAACAAATCAAGATAATCAAGATGGAACATGGAGGATATTGGACTGAGGAGTGCCATCAAAGTTTCAGATATATATAGTTTTCATCTTTACATTTTTAGTGGTATGTACCAGCCTTTTTCAACCAGGATGCCCAGACACCTTGGGGTGTCTTGAGGTTTCTTCAGGGGTGCCTTGGCAAAATGTCTAAAAATTGCCCAAAATTTGTATACAAGCCAGCGGGTGAAACAAGCTGTCTTTTAGTAACACACAAAGCCAGAGGTTTTCATTGTACACCCTTACAACTTCTAGATGCTGGTATCTTAATAACTAGAGATGAGCGAAGAAATGAAAAATTCGATTCGACTGATTCGGCGAATTCGTGGACAATATTCGATTCGAGTCGAATAAAAATTCGCTGTGAATTTAACTTAAAAAAGGGTGTTTCTAGGCTTCAGAGAGACTTAATATTAGTGCAGAACACTGTACCTTTAATTTAAATGCCCTTGGAGTCTGCTGGGGAAGAGAAATAATACTGTCAGTCAGTATGACATGCAGATGAGTGCCGTCGATCTTAGAATCACCGCACACTTCACTCATTTGGGCAGTCACGGGGCCAAAACCAGAGTGTGGAGCCACAGTGTGGCGGTGGAGGCAGCAGCAATGGGAGGCCATACAGCACCCTATGACAAAAATGGAAACCACCAGCAGTGTGAGGAGACCTGAAAGTGGCACATGGCAGAGTGTGGCGATAGAGACAGCAGCAATGGGAGGCCGTACAGGGACCCATGACACACTCTGGACCTGGCAGCAGCATGAGGAGGCGGTACAGGGGCCCATGACAGATTACGGGCCTGGCAGCAGCATGAGGAGTCGGTACAGGGGCCCATGGCAGATTACGGGCCTGGCAGCAGCAATGGGAGGCCGTACAGGGACCCATGACACACTCTGGACCTGGCAGCAGCATGGGGAGGCGGTACAGGGGCCCATGACAGATTACGGGCCTGGCAGCAGCATGAGGAGTCGGTACGGGGGCCCATGACACACTCTGGACCTGGCAGCAGCATGAGGAGGCGGTACAGGGGCGCATGACAGATTACGAGCCTGGCAGCAGCAACTTGGACAGGAGGACGTTCAGCTTCTGCACCGTCGGGTGCGTGCTCGCAAACTGTTGTCTCTTGGAAACGGATTCCAAGAAAGACTGCTGACGGAATCCGTGAAGGAGTAGTAGCAGGAGAAGGAGCATCTGAACGAGCGGAATATGCCAACAAGCGACAACAGTGGCCCATGACAGATTACGGGCCTGGCAGCAGCATGAGGAGTCGGTACGGGGGCCCATGGCAGATTACGGGCCTGGCAGCAGCTATGGGAGGCCCGTAATCTGCCAGCACCCTATGACAAAAAATGGAACCCACCAGCAGTGTGAGGAGACCTGAAAGTGGCACATGGCAGAGTGTGGCGATGGAGACAGCAGCAATGGGAGGCCGTACAGGGACCCATGAGAGACTCTGGACCTGGCAGCAGCATGAGGAGGCGGTATAGGGGCCCATGGCAGATTAGGGGCCTGGCAGCAGCTATGGGAGGCCCGTAATCTGCCAGCACCCTATGACAAAAAATGGAACACACCAGCAGTGTGAGGAGACCTGAAAGTGGCACATGGCAGAGTGTGGCGATGGATGGCAGGCAGCAGCAATGGGAGGCCGTACAGGGACCCATGAGAGACTCTGGACTTGGCAGCAGCATGAGGAGGCGGTATAGGGGCCCATGGCAGATTAGGGGCCTGGCAGCAGCTATGGGAGGCCCGTAATCTGCCAGCACCCTATGACAAAAAATGGAACACACCAGCAGTGTGAGGAGACCTGAAAGTGGCACATGTTTGGGGCATGATTCATGGCGGATTTAGTCAGTTGTGTCAGGAACTGGTGGTTTGAAATCCAGACTAATCCACGCCTGATTCATTTTTTCACAAACGTGAGTCTCTCCACACTTTGGGTGGACAGTCGTGTCCTCCGCGGAGTTGCAATACCTCCTGCCGCACTAAAAACACGCTCCGATGCCACGCTACTGGCCGGGCATGACAGCCTTTCAAGGGCAAATTCAGCTAGTTGGGGCCAAAGGTCAAGTTTCGTTGCCCAGTAGTCAAGGGGATTGTCTACCTCGGTTGGCAGGGTGCTGTCCAAGTAGGCCTAAGCCTGTTGTTTGAGGTCCTGCTCCAGGTCCACCTGATGCTGCTGCTGCTGCTGCTGCGGCTGGTTAGTAGTTTCCTCACTGCGCTGGGAAGAAGAAAGCTACTCATCATCGACTGCAGACTGAGGCAGCCGCTGCTGGTGGAGCTGCCACTGCTCCTACCCCCCACCCCTCCCCTGCTGCCATGGCAGCGGAACACGAGCGCGCACAGGGCCCACAGTGTCTGAGGATGGACGTTGGCGCAGACAGGCAGAGACCAGCTGACTACATAGGTGTTTTTTTATAGTACGTTATTTTGGCCTCCCTCTCAGCAGGTGTGAAAAAGGCCACCATTTTTGAACGGTAGCGAGGGTCCAACAAGGTGGACAGCCAAAAGTCATCCCTCTGTCTGATGGTTATTATTCGGCTGTCGCTACGCAAGCAACCGAGCATGCTATGGGCCATTTGTGCCAAGGAATGCGAGGGACTCCCTGCCTCCATCTCCACAGCATACTGCCACGGTGCGTCTAGGTCCTCTGTCTCCTCTTCCTCCTCCTCTACCAGATGCTCCTGCTCCTCCACTCCTGTCCGCTGAGTGGAAAAAACCCCCATTTCACTCAATAATTCCTGAGCACCAATGTCCTCCTCTACCTCCTCCTCTTCTTCCAGTCCTGCCCCCACAGGGGCCATGTGGCGTTGAGATCTGTGCGCCACGTCTACCGCACCCTGACCAGCCATTGTTAACAGCATTTGTTCCAGGACGTGCAACAGAGGAATGACGTCGTTCATCCCATAGTCCTGCCGACTCACGAATAGCGTGGCCTCCTCAAAGGGCCTGAGCAAGCGCAGGTGTCACGCATGAGCTGCCAATGGCTGACATCTAAGTTACACAGGGAGTACCTTTATCTGCTTTTAACATCAGGAAATCTGTGATGGCCTTTTGTGTCGTAAAGGCGGTCTAACATATGTAGGGTTGAATTCCACCTTGTTGCAACGTCACAGCATGAGGAGTCGGTATAGGGGCCCATGGCAGATTAGGGGCCTGGCAGCAGTTATGGGAGGCCCATAATCTGCCAGCACCCTATGACAAAAAATGGAACACACCAGCAGTGTGAGGAGACCTGAAAGTGGCACATGGCAGAGTGTGGCGATGGAGACAGCAGCAATGGGAGGCCGTACAGGGACCCATGAGAGACTCTGGACCTGGCAGCAGCATGAGGAGGCGGTATATATAGGGGCCTACGGCAGATTAGGGGCCTGGCAGCAGCTATAGGAGGCCCGTAATCTGCCAGCACCCTATGTCAAAAAATTCAACACACCAGCAGTGTGTGAGGAGAGACCTGAAAGTGGCACATGGCAGAGTGTGGCGATGGAGACAGCAGCAATGGGAGGCCGTACAGGGACCCCATGACAGACTCTGGACTTGGCAGCAGCATGAGGAGGCGGTATATAGGGGCTTATGGCAGATTAGGGGCTGGCTGGCAGCAGCTATAGGAGGCCCGTAATCTGCCAGCACCCTATGTCAAAAAATTCAACACACCAGCAGTGTGAGGAGACCTGAAAGTGGCACATGGCAGAGTGTGTGGCGATGGAGACAGCAGCAATGGGAGGCCGTACAGGGACCCATGACAGACTCTGAACTTGGCAGCAGCATGAGGAGGCGGTATATAGGGGCCCATGGCAGATTAGGGGCCTGGCAGCAGCTATATAGGAGGCCCGTAATCTGCCAGCACCCTATGTCAAAAAATTCAACACACCAGCAGTGTGAGGAGACCTGAAAGTGGCACATGGCAGAGTGTGGCGATGGAGAGACAGCAGCAATGGGAGGCCGTACAGGGACCCATGACAGACTCTGGACTTGGCAGCAGCATGAGGAGGCGGTATATAGGGGCCCATGGCAGATTAGGGGCCTGGCAGCAGCTATGGGAGGCCCGTAATCTGCCAGCACCCTATGTCAAAAAAATTCTAACACACCAGCAGTGTGTGAGGAGACCTGAAAGTGGCACATGGCAGCAGAGTGTGGCGATGGAGACAGCAGCAATGGGAGGCCGTACAGGGACCCATGACAGACTCTGGACCTTGCAGCAGCATGAGGAGGCGGTATATAGGGGCCCATGGCAGATTAGGGGCCTGGCAGCAGCTATGGGAGGCCCGTAATCTGCCAGCACCCTATGTCAAAAAATTTAACACACCAGCAGTGTGTGAGGAGACCTGAAAGTGGCACATGGCAGAGTGTGGCGATGGAGACAGCAGCAATGGGAGGCCGTACAGGGACCCATGAGAGACTCTGGACCTGGCAGCAGCATGAGGAGGCGGTATATAGGGGCCCATGGCAGATTAGGGGCCTGGCAGCAGCTATGTGAGGCCCGTAATCTGCCTGCACCCTATGTCAAAAAATTAAACACACCAGCAGTGTGAAGAGACCTGAAAGTGGCACATGGCAGAGCAGAGTGTGGCGATGGAGACAGCAGCAATGGGAGGCCGTACAGGGACCATGCAGACTCTGGACTTGGCAGCAGCATGGAGGAGGCGGTATAGGGGCCCATGGCAGATTAGGGGCCTGGCAGCAGCTATATGTGAGGCCCGTTATCTGCCAGCACCCTATGTCAAAAATTTAAACACACTGGCAGTGTGAAGAGACCTGAAAGTGGCACATGGCAGCAGAGTGTGGCGATGGAGACAGCAGCAATGGGAGGCCGTACAGGGACCCATGAGAGACTCTGGGACTTGGCAGCAGCATGAGGAGGCGGTATATATAGGGGCCCATGGCAGATTAGGGGCCTGGCAGCAGCTATGTGAGGCCCGTAAATCTGCCTGCACCCTATGTCAAAAAATTTAAACACACCAGCAGTGTGAAGAGACCTGAAAGTGGCACATGGCAGCAGAGTGTGGCGATGGAGACAGACAGCAGCAATGGGAGGCCGTACAGGGACCATGACAGACTCTGGACTGGGCAGCAGCATGAGGAGGCGGGGTATATATAGGGGCCCATGGCAGATTAGGGGCCTGGCAGCAGCTATGTGAGGCCCGTAATCTGCCTGCACACCCTATGTCAAAAAAATTTAACACACCAGCAGTGTGAAGAGACCTGAAAGTGGCACATGGCAGCAGAGTGTGGCGATGGAGACAGCAGCAATGGGAGGCCGTACAGGGACCCCATGACAGACTCTCTGGACTTGGCAGCAGCATGAGGAGGCGGTATATAGGGGCCCCATGGCAGATTAGGGGCCTGGCAGCAGCTATGTGAGGCCCGTAATCTGCCTGCACCCTATGTCAAAAAATTTAAACACCAGCAGTGTGAAGAGACCTGAAAGTGGCACATGGCAGCAGAGTGTGTGGCGATGGAGACAGCAGCAATGGGAGGCCGGCGTACAGGGACCATGACAGACTCTGGACTTGGGCAGGGCAGCAGCATGAGGAGGCGGTATATAGGGGCCCCATGGCAGATTAGGGGCCTGGCAGCAGCTATGTGAGGGCCCGTAATCTGCCTGCACCCTATGTCAAAAAAAATTTAACACACCAGCAGTGTGAAGAGACCTGAAAGTGGCACATGGCAGCAGAGTGGCGATGGAGACAGCAGCAGGGAGGCCGTACAGGGACCATGACAGACTCTGGACCTGGCAGCAGCATGGAGGAGGCGGTATATATAGGGGCCCATGGCAGATTAGGGGCCTGGCAGCAGCTATGTGAGGCCCGTTATCTGCCTGCACCCTATGTCAAAAAATTTAACACACCAGCAGTGTGAAGAGACCTGAAAGTGGCCACATGGCAGATTAGAGGGTGGCGATGGAGACAGCAGCAATGGGAGGCCGTACAGGGACCATGACAGACTCTGGACTGGCAGCAGCATGAGGAGGCGGTGTTTATAGGGGCCCATGGCAGATTAGGGGCTGGCAGCAGCTATGTGAGGCCCGTAATCTGCCTGCACCCTATGTCAAAAAATTTAACACACCAGCAGTGTGAAGAGACCTGAAAGTGGCACATGGCAGCAGAGTGTGGCGATGGAGACAGCAGCAATGGGAGGCCGTACATGGGACCTATGAGGACTCTGGACTGTGGGCAGCAGCAGATGAGGGGCGGTTATATGGGGGCCATGGGGATGGCGATTAGGGGGGGTGGGGAGGCTAGCATATGTGAGGCCATTTTGGGGATTGTGTGTGGGTGGTGGGCAGCTTATGGGGGGTAGGGGGGCCTGGTGGGTATGGATGTTTAAGGGACATGAGGAGACTGAAAGTGGCTGGACCAGAGTTAGCAGCATGGACAGCAGAGGGGGGGGCCGTTACACAGGACCATGGCAGATTAGGGGAGGAGGCGAAATGTTATAGCAGCAGCTTAGGGGTGAGCAGCCCGTGTGAGGGCTGCCTGCACCCTATGTCAAAAAATTTAACACACCAGCAGCAGTGTGAAGAGGTGGTGAAAGTGGCACATGGCAGGCAGAGTGTGGCGATGGAGACAGCAGCAATGGGAGGCCGTACAGGGCATTGAGACTCTGGACTTGGCAGCAGGTAGGCCGGTATATAGGGGCCCATGGCAGATTAGGGGCCTGGCAGCAGCTATGTGAGGCCCGTAATCTGCCTGCACCCTATGTCAAAAAATTTTACACACACCAGCAGTGTGAAGAGACCTGAAAGTGGCACATGGCAGCAGTGTGGGCGATGGAGGACCATTAGAATGGGAGAGACAGCAGCAATGGGAGGCCGTACAGGGACCATGAGAGACTCTGGACCTGGCAGCAGCATGAGGAGGCGGTATATAGGGGCCCATGGCAGATTAGGGGCCTGGCAGCAGCAGCTATGTGAGGCCCGTAATCTGGGGAGGCCTGCACCTATGTCAAAAAATTTAACACACAGCAGTGTGTGAAGAGACCTGAAAGTGGCACATGGCAGCAGAGTGTGGCGATGAGAGACAGCAGCAATGGGAGGCCGTACAGGGACCCATGACAGACTCTGGACTTGGCAGCAGCATGCATGAGGAGGCGGGTATATAGGGGCCCATGGCAGATTAGGGGCCTGGCAGCAGCTATGTGAGGCCCGTAATCTGCCTGCACCTATGTCAAAAAATTTAACACACCAGCAGTGTGAAGAGACCTGAAAGTGGCACATGGCAGCAGAGTGTGGGCGATGGAGACAGCAGCAATGGGAGGCCGTACAGGGACCCATGACAGAGACTCTGGACTTGGCAGCAGCATGAGAGAGGCGGTATATAGGGGCCCATGGCAGATTAGGGGGCTGGCAGCAGCTATGTGAGGCCCGTAATCTGCCTGCACCCTATGTCAAAAAATTTAAACACACACACCAGCAGTGTGAAGAGACCTGAAAGTGGCACATGGCAGCAGAGTGTGGCGATGGAGACAGCAGCAATGGGAGGTTGAGGCCGTACAGGGACCCATGACAGACTCTGGACTTGGCAGCAGCATGAGGAGGCGGGTATATATAGGGGCCCATGGCAGATTAGGGGCCTGGCAGCAGCAGCTATGTGAGGCCCGTAATCTGCCTGCACCCTATGTCAAAAAATTTAACACACCAGCAGTGTGAAGAGGAGACCTGAAAGTGGCACATGGCAGCAGAGTGTGGCGATGGAGACAGCAGCAATGGGAGGCCGTACAGGGACCCATGAGAGACTCTGGACTTGGCAGCAGCATGAGGAGGCGGTGGTATATATAGGGGGCCCATGGCAGATTAGGGGCCTGGCAGCAGCTATGTGAGGCCCGTAATCTGCCAGCACCCTATGTCAAAAAATTTAACACACCAGCAGTGTGAAGAGACCTGAAAGTGGCACATGGCAGCAGAGTGTGGCGATGGAGACAGCAGCAATGGAGGGCCGTACAGGGACCCATGAGAGACTCTGGACCTTGGCAGCAGCATGCATGAGGAGGCGGTTGGTATATAGGGGCCCATGGCAGATTAGGGGCCTGCCGTGGCAGCAGCTATGTGAGGCCCGTAATCTGCCAGCACCCTATGTCAAAAAATTAACACACCAGCAGTGTGTGAGGAGACCTGAAAGTGGCACATGGCAGCAGTGAGTGTGGCGATGGAGACAGCAGCAATGGGAGGCCCGTACAGGGACCCATGAGAGACTCTGGACTTGGCAGCAGCATGAGGAGGCGGGTATTAGGGGGCCCATGGCAGATTAGGGGCCTGGCAGCAGCTATGTGAGGCCCGTAATCTGCCTGCACCCTATGTCAAAAAATTTAACACACCAGCAGTTGTGAAGAGACCTGAAAGTGGCACATGGCAGCAGTGTGTGGCGATGGAGACAGCAGCAATGGGAGGCCGTACAGGGACCCATGAGAGACTCTGGACTTACCTGGCAGCAGCATGAGGAGGAGGTGGTTATATAGGGCCCATGGCAGATTAGGGGCCTGGCAGCAGCTATGTGAGGCCCGTAATCTGCCTGCACCACCCTATGTCAAAAAATTTTAACACACCAGCAGTGTGTGAAGAGACCTGAAAGTGGCACATGGCAGCAGAGTGTGGCGATGGATGATGACAGCAGCAGCAATGGGAGGCCGTACAGGGACCCATGAGAGACTCTGGACTTGGCAGCAGCAGGAGGAGGTGGTATATAGGGGCCTTATGGCAGATTAGGGGCCTGGCAGCAGCTATAGGAGGCCCGTAATCTGCCAGCACCCCTATGTCAAAAAATTAAACACACCAGCAGTGTGAGGAGACCTGAAAGTGGCACATGTTTGAGGCATGATTCATGGCGGATTTAGTCAGTTGTGTCAGGAACTGGTGGTTTGAAATCCAGACTAATCCACGCCTGATTCATTTTCACAAACGTGAGTCTCTCCACACTTTGGGTGACAGTCGTGTCCTCCGCGGAGTTACAATACCTCCTGCCGCACTAAACACGCGCTCCGATGCCACGCTACTGGCCGGGCATGACAGCCTTTCAAGGGCAAAATTCAGCTAGTTGGGGCCAAAGGTCAAGTTTCGTTGCCCAGTAGTCAAGGGGATTGTCTACCTCGGTTGGCAGGGTGCTGTCCAAGTAGGCCCAAGCCTGTTGTTTGAGCTCCTGCTCCAGGTCCACCTGATGCTGCTGCTGCTGCTGCGGGCTGGTTAGTAGTTTCCTCACTGCGCTGGTGAAGAAAGCTAATCATCATCGACTGCAGACTGAGGCAGCCGCTGCTGGTGGAGCTGCCACTGCTCCTACCACCCCACCCCCTCCCTGCTGCCATGCCAGCGGAACGCGAGCGCACAGGGCCCACAGTGTCTGAGGATGGACGTTGGCGCACAAAGGCAGAGACCAACTGACTACATAGGTGGTTTTTATAGTACGTAATTTTGGCCTCCCTCTCAGCAGGTG